TGGGTCTCCACAAAGATGCCTTCATGGGCTCATCAGCAGACGTTTAACAAACTCCATAAAGTCAAAAGACTTCAACTAAAACATGTCTAATCCATAAAATCAAGGTTTGTGTGCCAAAATAAGAGAATAATGTCAAAATGTGCAATTGGAGGAATAACACCCAGGGCTTCTGTAGAGCTGAAATCTTTTTTTTATGTGTATTTTCTTTTCGTGGGTGGTAAAACACAATAATTAGATTATGCGTCCCTCAAACCATCCGGATTACTAAACCACTCCCTGCTCCACCCTCCTCTATTCTTATCTCTTTTAAGAGGTTTACTCGTACTTCTGCCGCAGATTTCCTGTCACCAGACTTTTTTAGGTGTTCGGCGCACTTGAGCTTTATCTTTTCACCCAACTTAATGAGATTACAGGAAAGGGAAACCTGCTGGGGCTGGCAGTGGAGAGGCACGGCGTGGAGGTACGGGTGGAGGCACGGCGCCGGCTGCTCTCTGCTGGGTCCTCGGGGGATGTGAGCGGCTGCAGGAGGCAGAGGAATGGCCCCGCGTCCCGAGAGGAGTGGCAGCCACCCCACCAACCCCTTCATCCTGCTGTACGACTGAGCGCTGCCCCGCCCGCACCTCGGCTCGCTCGGCCCCGGGGGCGTGATGACTGGACACTGGTGTGGAGCTCAGGTGGGCCAGACTTTGCTCAGAGGGTCAGCCCTCAAAAGCTGCACGGGTTCTCATGTCATGAGGTCATTAAGGAGGGAAAATGAAGGAAATGACTTATAAACTCGGTAGAATATAAATAAGCCTGTTGGACAAACATAAGCAATGTGCAAAGTGAGGGACAAATTGAAGGGAAAAGGTTCTTTCTAATGATTTAATTGAAGCTGGACGCTGGCAGGTTTTTAGTTTTCTGGACCATAAATTGGCCAAACTGAGTCTCTAAACGCTCGTTGTCTCTTTGTTGCTTCCTTTAATGGTGCTGTTACGCTGTCAGCTTAGTTATTCTGAGTCGGGACGACCTACGGAGGGAAAGGAAGTATAGAAAAGTCCTGAGCGTCACATTAACGTGGCCTCGGTGGTCCAGTCCCCCCGTCTGCTCGACCAGGTCCAGATCTGGAGTACTGAAGTGGGTTGGAGTTTAGGAGTTTATCTCTATGTTTTCAGATGAGTCTGAACAGGTAAAAGCATCCCCCCCCCCCCCCAAACCCCTTTTAAATGTCCTCCAGAGTACAGAACCGGGACGTTTGGACCACTTCCTGCTGAGGGGCCCAGATCTACTGGGCTGACTCCTGGTTTCCTGCCTTTAAGGGGCAGAAATGTGCTCCTCAGAGGATTTAAGGATTCAGTCTGTGCTCTGTGAGTGGCTGTTATGGCGTGTGAGCACTAGTCAGACGACTCCAGTTGAAGTGAAAGTGCATTTTAATCGTGCATAATAGTGCATAAATAATTATCTGAGGGTCGGATAACAGATAATAAATAATAATACATGCATTGAAAAATGAATAAGAACAAATATATAATTATAATTAAATATAAATCCATAATGATAAGAAAATACATACATAAATAAATGAATGAATGAATTAATTAATGAATAAATAAACAAACCGTGTTTAACCAGTTTTAGGTTAAATGAGTCATTTTCTGCCCAGGAAAAAGGAGACATGTGTCATATGGAAAGCTAATGCTGGACTAAGCATTGCAGTGGTCATTCAGAAACTGTCCGGCTGGTAAATTAGATCCACAACACGTCAAATGTAACTGCACATTTACTGCAGTATGATCACGTATTGTGTAAAAAAAGCTTAAATATGCATGGAGACTATGTTCTTTGGACCCTATGAGGAGCCATGAACCGTGTTGGAGGGTACTTATTCAGGAAAACATAAAGGGGGACTGGTTTTTCCCGTCCTCCAGCAGATCTGTGAGTCCCAGGTGGTGGTCAAACTCATCTATCACGTATTTGGGAAATTATCGGAGGTCATCGGAGGGAACTGGGAAGTCCTGGATCAGGTTCTGAAGCTGGTGCTTAAACTTTAATCCAGATTTTTAAAAATTTAAATCCCGTTTAGGAACTGGCTCTTATTCATTCCAAACCCAGAAAATGGATGTTGTGTCATATTTGTGTTGTTATCAGCGGTTTTGGTCATTTATCCCCGGCAGACATTTGTTTTGTCCACACCAAACTCTGCTCAGCCTCTGATGAGCAGCGAATGAATCCCTTTTCTTGTGCTTTTCTCCGTTAAAAACAAGGCTTGGCCCGGCGCCAGCCGTTATTGCGCAAGCCTATTGAAACCATAGATCCAGCCCCCCCTCCCAAACACCATTTGCATCCACTAATTTGCCTTTGTTTGCTCCCTTTGGCACTTCCTCCTCTCCCACAAGGCCGGAGCAATTATCCCAGAGTAAAGGGGCCCCCAGGAATGTTGGGCCGTGGCTGCCCGGGCATTTTTGGTGCCCTAAAACCCGGCAGGCGGCACGTTTCTGGGTCCATCCGAAGACTTCAGGTCATTCTGAAGCTTGATTTGTGAAGATTTGAGGTGATTCTAGCTCGATTTGCAGCCTCCCGGGTGTCTGTCAGCCCCTCTGGAGGGCAGAAACAGACCGAGTAGGACCCGGGTCCCAGGATGGAGCCAGGAAAAGCACATCTCTGCCTCGGTGTTCGTCCTGAGGCACGACAGAGACGCAGGATTGTGCTGGAGCCTCGCTCAGATTATGAAACCCGTGTAGGAAGAGCCCCTCCCTGCTCAGAAAGTCTCCATTCACCCCCAAAAAAGGCAAAAGGGTTAAAAATACTGACTTTTTTTTAGCCAAGTCTTCAAAAAACAACAAATACATTTAATTCTCTTGTTTTTTTAATTCAAATTAATACACTTTTCAGCACATTTTTGCTATAAAAATATGAAAAAGGGGTAAATATTTTGCATAACAGGTTGATTTTTAAAGAAAGCTTTAAGGATTTAGGTTTTAGAAATCTATGTTTGAAATCTAATATGATAGTAAGATTTAAAAAAGGGTTTAAATTTGGCACTAATTGTTTTTCTGATTTATTTTTTGGGTTGCATTTTGAGTCCTCCTGATCCAAGCGTTCACTTTGAGCTTTTTATCTTGCCCCACATGCCTCCTCTTTTAGGTTTTCTGTTGTTTTCTCATTCAGCTTTTTTTTAACATTTTCTCAATTTGACTCTTGCGTTTTAGTGAATTAGTTGTTTTTTTAGTTTGACCCATATCAACCAGTTGTTTCTGGATGTTTCTTTGGCCCACAGAGTCACACAGATGATCCATTCTGAGCCTCCTTAAGGGCCCCAGTTCCTTTTTACTGACTCTGTGGTGGGATTTTAATCTTTTTGGACTGGTCTGCTTTCCTCTGATGGTGATTTTAGTTGTTTTTGGTGGCTGGCTCCGGTCGTTTGGTGTCTGTTTGGTGTCTCTCCAGCTCTGAGGCTCTTCTAGTGGAGGGTCCTACGGTATATGTGGTGATTTAGAGCCCAGCCGTTCAGTTTTTCCACAGCGAACATGGACCCAGACGGCTAATCCCACCCGGCCCGCTTTTCTGGAAGGTTCCAGGAGAATCTCCACTCATCTCAGAGCTCTCCTCTGACTGAACCCCCCCGTTTCTCTGCCCGGGTCCTGGAGCTCCTGCTCCGTCCCGGTGGCCCCCGGGGGCCTCCGGGGGGGCCCTGGCCGGCCCGGAGAGGGTACTGGAGGCTGGGCCCGTGAAGGTCATCGTGGCTGAGAGGCTGAGCAGGCCTGGGATTACCCCCCCCCCCCCCCCCCCCCCGCCCCGGCTGCACACTAACCCAAATCTAATCTGACTCTCTCCCCGGCCCCCGCACGCCTCGTCATCCCAGATGCACATCGGAAATTTCCGGTCTAACTCTGATTCCAGTTATCTCTGCTCTGTGCTTTTTATTACGCTATTTGAAGAAATTGTGTCTTATTTTACCTACTTTTATAATTATTATTTATCCCAGATTAAGGTGTCATTTCCAAAAATTAACTCAGTCAAGATACAGACATTTCTAATTTTAAGTAACTTATTCTTAAATAAGAGGATTCTGATTTCTTTTCATAGAAGAATTGACTTAAATTTAAGATTTAAGGCCCATTTTAGTCTGTCAGAGGCAAGAACTTTGGTCTTATTTTAAGATTTCTTATCAAGTAAAAAAAATCTTACCCCATTGGCAGATTTTTTTTTGCTAAATACAAGATAATTTGATTGGATTTAAGAATATTTGTTTGTCTGTTTTTGCAGTTCCTTCTCAGACTCCAAACAAAAAGTCAAAAACAGTTTTTTGAACAATCATGAGACAGAAAATAGGTTGTAAAATCCAAAAGAAAGAGCCACAAAAGCCACAAAGCCTGTTGATAGTGTTTTTTTTGGTTCTCTCGGCCTCTTTCCCGTAGAGCTGTGAGAAGGCTGGGCTGTTTCCGGGTCGTGCGGCTCCTCTTTGGGCCTCGGACCGGGCCGGGATCCGGGGGAGAGTCCACAAATCAAACCGGGATAATTGCTTAATTTCAAAAATCCGGATTAGATACAAGAAATGTCCAATCCTATTGTGGCTGGTGGCCGGTGGGGGAAGGGACGGGTGGACAGATGGGACAGACACATGGCCCCCCCCCTCTCCCTCTCCCTCTCTCTCTCTCCCTCTCTCTGCGACTCTCTGCCTAATCTGAGCAGGCGGGGGGGGAGGGATGAGGAGGGCGCCCGGCATTGGCCGGCAGCTCTCCCCGGGTTCTGGCACACAGGAGCAGGACATGAGCAGGACATGAGCCGGACATGGGCAGGACAGCAGCTTTCTCCCCTCTGAGGGCCGGCCTGCGGCCGAACGGGGGCTCCCGCTGAGGACCCAGGCTCCGGGGGTCCGAACCCACAGCTAATCCACCACAAAGGGACCAAAGGGGCCTGCGTGGCCGCTCGGGGGCCGGCCGGGCTCCTGAGGAGGATGCCGGGCTGCCAGGTGCTCTGAGAGGACTCCCCCCCCCCCCCCGCCCCCCCCCCCCGGGTTCATGGCCGTGTGCAGAGCCGTGGTGGCAGACGAGAAGCAGAGTAAGGGCACCATGTCGGCCACGCAGGGCCTGAGCCGCACCAGCGTCTACGGCTACTTCCTCAACATGGTGGCCTATCAGGTAAGAGCTGACCACCGACACTTTCTGCTGACTCAGCAGAAGAAACGCCCGCAGCTCGCCTCAAAAGGCCCCGTTACTAAAGCCGGGGGCTGTTTTTCTGGAAGTTTTTCTTCATCCGAGGAGTTTCTGAAGTGTTCTGAGTTTGTTTTTTGGCTCTATGAGAGATTTATTTGTCTTACTGACTCACAAATAGCTGCATGTTTAAGTGTAAAACTTTATTCAGAAGAGGGAGAAAGAGTGTTCTGGTTTTTAATGGGAAGTGTGAGCAGCATCAGGAAGAATGAATGAAAACACAACTCCAGTGATTCAAAGCCCCATGTCAGGACTTTTTAAACATTTTTTCAGATAAAAACAGGACAGATGGATTCATAAGTCTACAAGTTATATATATTTATCCATTCAAATCTCGTTTACTATCAGATACAGGTTAAAACAACTCTTTCTCTGATTCATAAGTCTATAAGTTATCTAAATTTATATATTCAAATCTCTTTTAATATCAGATGCAAGTTCAAAAAACTCTTTCTTGGATTCATAGGTCTATACGTTATCTATATTTATCCATTCAAATCTCATTTATTATCAGATGCAGGTTCAAAAAAATTTCCTGAAAATTTCAGATTTTTCTTAATGAAATGAAGCAGGAAAATGGTAAAAACAAAAAGTAACATTGATGAAGATTCCCCTGACGTTACCGGAACTGCTTATAAAAGAAGCATTTTTCAAATGTATACCACCATTGTCATTTCCAATACCATCAGAGAAATATCAAGAAGTCCATTTCTGAATTACTTTTTAAAAATTCTACACAGCAGAATAAGGATGTTTCATCATTGAAGGAGCAAAAATACTTTTTCTGGCCTTTGAAATCTGCATGAAAAACTGTGTTTTGGGAGGAGTTACAGTTCTACTGTAATCAGAGAATGGAGCATCAGCATCAAAACAGGAATATCCACCGGAGCCTGAAGGCACCACAGGTGGATATCGGGGTTGTGGTGAGGTCTTTCCCCGGGAGCTTTCGTGGTCACGAAGAGGAGAACCAGAGAAAAGCAGCCGGAAACCATCTGGGATTCAGCAGGAATGGACTGAAAAATTCCCAGAATCCCAGTCCCCCCCCCCCAGAGCATCAGGACAGCTGCCAATTCCAGATGTTCCACTTTCTAAACGGACCAAAGCTCACCTTAAACGCCTGAAAATGACCAAATTTAGGAGCCAGACCACCATTTTTCCAGGCAGTTTCCACAGAATTCCCAAGTAACTCCACACAGCTCAGCTCATCTGAGGATGGACTCACATTTTCTCCTCCAGAAAGTTTCCTCCAGCCGGACGGCAAAGGCCGTTTTTAATGTTGATCACTTCCATTTTTTGGATGTTCTGAAAGGAAACAGGGTTGTTTGAGTGCTGCCCTATAGACTATAAATCCCCTATTTGCTGTTTCATTCATGTAAGAAGGGTGGAATCAGGACCCAGAAATGAAGGAACTCCAGAGAGCTTCCGTCTTCTGACCAAAGCCTCGTTGTGTTAACGCTCCCGGCTTCGTTTTAGGGGCCAGAAGCGATTTAGGGCTCATCGATTTCCACCAGAACCTCGCAGAATAACTCGCCTCCTCACCTGGAAACGATCGTTTCTGTCTTATCTGACCAAGTTCCCCTCCTGCTCTCAGGGAGATGAACCAAGGGATGACTGGACCTCTTAAAATGGTCAGAAGAGTGAGTAAGGGGCTGGTTTGACCCCTGACCCCTGACTGTATCTGCTGAGACAGTAAGGGGTCAGAGGGTCTCCTAGCAACAGCATCCTACCTGTAAAACATGGCGATTTAACGCCTGTTTTTACCTCCCCGTCCAAACTACAGAGGGGTGGAAAATAAAGTCTGTCAGATTTAATGAATTAGTCTAGTTTTGTACATAAACAGTCATCTAAAAGCAAAAAAAGTCCCTAAATCAGTTTCTGTTATGTCTAGTTGTCTCAAAACACTCACATTTATACGTAAATCTTGTTAAATGATGACCTGTATCATGAAATTCGACACGCCATCTGTTTCATCTAGATACATTTTCTTCAAAAACGAACCGACTCGCGTGTGGAAACCAGCGTCCAGATAACAGAAATGTCTGCCTTCATGCAGGACTGTGATCAGATCGGCCTTCTGGATAACTCAAGAGGGCAAATACACAACACACCGACCTCAGTTCTGATTATTCTGCTGGCAGAGTGAGCCTCACAGGTTCAGGCTGCTCACAAACGTTAGATTTTAGCAGATATTTAGGAGAAAAAGGGACGATAAACTCAGTAATTAGGAGCATTTTTGTCCCACCTGGGCCCCGGCCGGCTGGAGGGAAGGCTACTGACCCACTGTATCGTTTGCCTATTTTTAATCCCAGTGATTATTCTGTGTTTATGGCAGATAATCTCCCCCCAACTTCACTCTGGGAGCAGTAATCCTGTATTATGGACCTCAAACTGGGCCACTGGACAGACACCCGCCTCTCTGCCCGGAGGCTCAAACAAGTGGGAACGTTTCAGGCCGTTTTCCGGTCTGTCCTGACCTGGAACGCCTCCCGTTTGGTAGAAAGGGTCACCAGCAAAGCTTTAGATCATTTATGATGGCAGATACAACACGAGATAGAAAAATAAGCCGTTGAACAGGTTTCCAAAAGCTGCGGAGTACACACGGAAATCAGAAAATACGAAAAAAAACAGGACTAGATGATCGTTTTTCATCGGAAAAAGGTTTGTGATCTAATATCTGCTATATATGATAGATAATGACAATAATTTAGAATTTCATAAGATGAGAAAACAGCAAACGACTCCTGTTCTCCTGTAGTTGAGTCTCCCCTTCAGGAGGAAGATGCTGGGTAATCTTCTCTGAATCGTCCTCAGGATTATGATTGGGCACGTGATGGGTGCTTATGGTTCAGGATCCGCTGGCCCGGCATGTTTTCCCCTGTGTTCCAGATGTGGGCGGCCCACGGGCAGAAGTCAGGGAGCCCTGACCAGTCCCTCTCATCTGGATCTGACCCCGATGAGCCAGACAGAGCTCCACGTTCTGCCCTCTCAGATTTAGCCCTCTTAGAGCGTGGGCATGAATTCAGCTGCTTTATGAGAGTCTGTCAGACTCATCAGATTTAACTCCCAGCCCAGAAATGTAGGTGACCTAATACCAAGCCTTTCCAGCTCGGGCTTTGCAGGATTCAGTGCTTCCAGATATTTACTGGAAGCTGTTGAACCTTTAAAGGGACAAAAACCACACACCTGAGTTTAGATCAGACCTGTGCAAAGTAAAGGAGAGACATTTCTGTTTGTTAAATTTGGGTTTTTTAACTCAACCTTTCTTGTTTTGATTAGATTCAGTTTTTTTTTTTACTTAACCCTTCTTGTTTTGTCCAGATTTTGTTTTGTTTTTTACTCAACCTTTCTTGTTTTGACCAGATTTGTTGTTTTTTTTACTCAACCCTTCTTCAGGGGCTAAAAAGAGTTTTCCTGCAGAGGTTTGGGTCTCAGAAAAGGTTCCATGTGCTGGAGAGAAAGGAAAAAGTTACCTCTGCTCAAAGGCACAAATATAAAGGCTTAAATCTCTGAATAAAAGGTCGGCGTGAGCAGATTCTAAGTCAGCGGGGATGAGCCTTACTGCTCGATGGAGACTGTCGAGAGAGCAAACAGGAAAAAAAACACCCAAAATCCCACAGAAATATGGCGCACATGTGATTATTTCTCTGTGGTTGTGTCCCAGTACATGAATAAAGCCTCCTTAAAGAGCTTAACGTGCAGAAATGGGGAGTTTCAGGTGCAGTTTCTGCTTTTACTGTTAGCTTAGTGAACATTATAGCATTTCTTTGTACCTGAATTGAATTGATCATAAATATTACTTGATTGAAGGTGTAATTAAATTAGAGAGATCTGAGTTCTTTTGGTGGAAATCCCCCTCTATATGCATAGAAAACATATAATATTGCGGGTTACGGGTTTTATCTGCTGTTTCTGGATACACTCCAAGATCAATGTGTAGAATCTGTCTGAGGAACTTGAATGATTTTCATGCCCTTTATTGATTCAAAGTGAAGAAAGGAGTCTATTTTCCCCATAAATAAGCCATAAAATGTTGGTTAATTTTCTGCTAGCTGCCAGCAAAGTTTGACTTGTGGGTTTTATGTGCTTTCAATTGGGAGCCAGCTTCAAAGTTGCCCTTCGTTTCACTTTATCAAAACACAAGAAAGTCCATTTGAAGGAAAAAGAAAGAAATGTATACATCACAAATGTAAGAAAAAGCTAAAATACCCATAGTTCCTATTCTAGACTTAAACCTGGCTGAGTTTTTTGCATGGTGCAGGTCACATAAAAAAGCCTAAAAAGTGGAAACACTAGCAAAAAACGGACCTAATTTGATGCTTTAAACAGAATCACTTTCCAGGAAATCCTGGTCTCTGATCCTCCCTCCTGCTTATAATACTTTTCTTTAGTCTGTAATCAAACTTCTCATGAGGCCTCTCATTTGTCCAAAATGTCTTTATTCAAGTTTTTTCCGGCATACATCTTCAGATTAGTTTCAATGAAATACTGGATGTTATGATGTGAACATATTTTGACATAATCCAGAAACCGAGAACGTTGCTTGCAACCTGTTCTAACATTCACTACTATGTCCTCCATTTAGCTTGATTTATTTTAGTCTTAGCCCTTTTTAACAGGATATTATTGTGGATTTTCTTTCATTTTATTGCACAATGCAACTTAAAATCATATTTATGCAACATAAAACCCAAATAAACACAAGAAAATAGCTTTTAAAGGCTGTGCATGAAAGGGTTAATTTCCCATTGCTAGCAGATCCTATATACAGATCCATGAGCATTAAATTTGAGTGAAAATGTCATTTTTTTTTTGTCTTTTTTGTGTCCTGTGCTCCTCAGATATGCTGCTGCTGTGGCCCGGCTCCCTGCTCGCTCTGCTGTGCCTTCTGCCCTCCGGTCAAGTCCTCCACCAGCACGCGGATCATGTACACGCTGTTCCACATCATGACCTGCGCTGTGTCCTGCCTCATGCTGTCCCGCACCGTCTCCGAGCTCGTCAGGGAAAATGTGAGCACAGTTTGCCTTCTGGTCGCCGTCCGTGTGGATTTAAAGTGGTTAAAAGAGAGCAAAGCTCGATTTCTTTTGGTGTTTTTTCCAAGAATATGCACCAAAGTTCTTTAAAGCTAACATTTACCTACATAAACAAAGTGGATCTGCTTTAGAACTAGCATTAGCAACTGGCTCCACATTAGCATAAAAAGATGAATTATGGTTTTCTGAATGTTGGTAAAGTCATGAAAACATACAGTACTTTGTGATCCATCATGCAACAGTTCCTTAGTCCACTTTTGAAGCCTTTTTTTTAAGCAGAGGGTTTTTAATCTTTCAAAATGAGATTTTCTCGTGTGTGGGATTCCTCAAGGCTCCATCCTGGGCCCTATTCAGTTTCTGTTTTGGAAGGAAATTAGCTAAATATTAACATAAATCCTTAAAAAACTAATCATCAATAACAGCATTTACTGAACCACCTTAACAAACAAATGTAAATGTCCTTTTTTAAGAATCAAAACAAAAACAAGATCAATCTGCTCCCTCAAATTTGGAAAACCCCTCGAAAATTGGAACACTTTTTTTTCAGCGAAAACTTTTAGGAAGTTTATCTTTTTATGTGGGTGTATTTCAACTATTTCTCTTTGTTTTCTGCGAGTGATACAAAACACAAACTGGAAAACTCTGATTTACAACATCCTCTCCATTCCTATTAGGGCTCTTTCCTACCACACTGAGACAATAATCCCTCCTTCCATTCCAACTTTCCGAGCCCTTTAGCCAATTTATTGGGAAACTTTTGAGCTCATCACTGTTTTCCACAGCCACTTTTATTTTTATAACTGATTATATGAAAAAATACAATTTACCTTCTTTGGCTTTGGACACTGGGGCCACAGTCCAGACAGAATCAGCAAAAACTGGCCAATAGCAGGCCGGAAAAACAGGCAGAAAGGCCTGGATCCATCCGGCCTTTATCTGTGATTCAGGCTGGTGCTGGTTCAACTCTCTGCCCCTTTTGGGCCTCCCAGTACCAACCCGCCACCCTCCCGTACAGAGCTGGTGCTTCCTTCTGCTTTCACATCAGACCAAGGCTCACAAGGGGAGACCTTTGCTATCATTTATTAGTAAAAATGTGTGGATAATAGGCAGTTTTTCCCGGCTGGAACTGGGATTAGAGGCGTTTGTGTGAGGCTGTGGGAGCAAAGCCCCGTTATTACATTTCCTAATGATGGTGATGTCAGGCAGGAGCAGCTCAGCTGCAGATTAAAGAGTTTGGGTTATTAATATACCCGGGAGGAGAGCTGAGTTATGGGACTCCAGGCTCCTCCAGGAACTCTGTGGGTTGAACCCATCAAGATGCTGGACCCACACTTCTCTTAACCCATTTGATAGATTACACATGAGCTCAGTCGGCTCTTCTTCTCTGGTTTGTCCGGTTTAATAAAACAAAATGGACTTGGATGTTGTCTATCCATCATCTCCCATGTGAAATAATATAAGAGAATATATTGATACAAGAGAAAATATCAATACGGTAATTAGCGGTGTAATGGCAAAACAGGACTCCAAATTCAACAAAGATTTCTTTTGATTTTGGCCCTTTTCCCGACTTTTTTCACAGATTACTGCTCCACTCACAAATAAGTATTTATTTTAGGTATTTATCTGATGGGATTTAACCCAAATCGATCAGCTGTGGTGGATTCTCCTTCTATACCCAATACTGACACCCTCACCAGTCAATCTACTGGTGGTAAAACATCCCAGAGTAGTGTTACACTTTATAGATTATAATGATTTCTTTAGTCTTTGTCTGTTTATGTTGATGATTGTGTTCTGTGGAGATGCTGAGCTGGTGTCTGTTCAACAAGGCTTCAAACAGATTAAAAAATAAGATTTAATAGAACAATTTAAATTTTAGATTGTTTGACACCTATCATGACATTCTTTTTAATCAATATTTCAATTTAAATGCTATTTTTAGGGGTCAGGCTTAATCTATTTGAACATTTTTGTTTGATAAAATGTCTCCACTCAGACTGGACCCACTAAGACTGGACTAATTTAGACTCTTGGATCCACTAAGATTGGATCCTCTCAGACTGGATCCTCTCGGCCTGAGTGGATCCGGTTGTGTATGAGGTGTGTTTGTTCCAGGTGCCTTTCTTCAACATGGTGTGTGACCAGGCCCACGGCGGGGGCCACTGTGAGATGCTGGTGGGCTACTCGGCCGTGTACAGAGTCTGCTTCGGGACCTCCTGCTTCTACCTGATGATGGCCCTCTTCCTCATAGACGTGAAGTCCAGCCAGGACTTCAGGGCCCTCATCCACAACGGGTCAGTCTCCCCTCACCCCCCACTTCCTGTTCGGGTTTCCGGGAAAATCCAGCGCTTTCCTAATCACACGTAAACCCACCAAAAGTGATTCTAAACGAGCCTTAATTAAATGCGTTCGCTCAGAGTCTAGAGTCTTTGGCCGGACTATTTTAAGCTCCCTGTTGTTGCACTTTCCGTGGCCGTGTGCTCGATTAGGGCCGTGACGCGGCCCGGATTAGGATTTGACAGACTGGATCGCTGCTCCAATCTGGAATAAGAGTCTTAATGGAGCCTCAGTGAAAGGCCACGGGGTCTTTGGCAAAGGTCGCGTCTCTCTCCGGGCTGGGGGGGGCAGCCGGTGACCCACTGGCCGGCTGGAAGCCGCCCACTGGCCAGACAGTCACATGACGACTGTCTGGACGGCAGATTGAGGCAAAACTTTGCAGCATGGCAACAAAACTGCTCTCTCTGCTGGTGGGATTTACTCGCTTTCAGCTCTAATCTGTTTGTTTTTCTATCTCACCAAAGAGTTTCAGAGAAAAAAATGAACATTTTGAAGGAAATTAAAGGTGAAAAACACAGAGACAAGCGATATATCTTAAACTTCCCACAATAGACAGTAAAAACCTCTAAAATGTGGACTGAATTTGAAGTTATTTAACGTCTTTGACCCAAAAGGGAAGAACAGTAAAAAAAGGAATAGATATAAAACTCTGTCTTCCCTCAACCCTTTAATGTAATAATAAAAAAGGTGATAGAATGGACGGCTTTGAGCTAAATTTAGCTAAATTCAGTCATGCGTCAGGTCTAAGAAATGCACAAATGGAATATCTCACAACAGAATTAAAGAGACGAGTCTAAAACAAACATGTTTTAGACACAGTTGGGAAAAAGTGAAGGTTCAAACTTCTGGATCTCTGATGTTTTTCTGTATAGATACAATTTAACTCAAGTTAATTGAGCGGAAATGATCAAATTAAATCCCCAAATAGCTTTGAAGATCCCTTAAAATGAAATTAAGTGCTCGACTCTTACATTTTGCCTGATAAATGCTGAATTTAACAGTCTTATAAACCAAAGAAAAGAAAAGCTCTGAGCCTTTAAAGAGGTTCTGATCTAAATAGAATTCAGAGATTTTTCTGGGTGTAAACTCCTTTTATTTTCTGTGCCTCCTCTCTTTCTGCAGCTTCTGGTTCCTGAAGTTCATCACGCTGCTGGGGATGTGCACGGCGGCCTTCTTCATCCCCACAGAGTCCTTCCTGCACGGTGAGGCGGGCGCACCCCCCCGGGAGCGCCTCTAGGGGGCAGCAGCGGGCCGGGAAAAACAGCTTTTCCTGCTCCCTCTCTGTTTGGGAACAACACAGAGTGCTGATGGTCCTTTTATCTCCCCCCTGACATGACCCCCCCCCCCCCTTTTTTCTCCTACAGCTTGGCATTACGTTGGTGTGGTGGGAGGGTTTGCCTTCATCCTCATCCAACTCATCCTCATCACAGCGTTTGCACACACCTGGAACAAGAACTGGTGAGTCGGGGGGGGTTAGGAATTTAATGTTTTCCCAAATCCAACTTCAAGAAGGAGAGACTTTATTATTTCCCACAAGATGTTGGTCTTTTACCTCCAGCTGCTCTAATAATGAGCCACCTTTAGTTAGTTAGTTAGTTAGTTAGTTAGTTAGTTAGTTAGTTGGTTAGTTGGTTGGTTGAGTGAGACTGAAGCCACCAAATCTTTGTCTTTTTCAGCTTATTGATAGTGAAAAAAAGGTTTGTAAAAAGGGTCAAAAGTCCCTTTTTTCCGGTGTCTGATGGAGGTTTGGATTGCGGAGAGCTTTGAGATGAAGACGATGGAGTTTGGCTTTATGTCCCTTTAACTAAACATTTATATAATGTAAACATTTTTTAATTTGATTTCATCGATATTTTACTTTCACTTTATGATGATTCAATAGGTCTCAGAGGGTTAATGATTATGCTTTTGGCTCTTTAAATATCAGGTCTCCAATACAAACATTGTCTTCTTCTCCAAATACAATTGCGTGGTCTTCTGCTTTTAAAGAAGCTAATTCTGAACCACAGCCATGAAATGAGTCGTCCCAAAACCCACGAGGGAAATGAAAACTATTAGAACAAAACGTCACATGTAAAGACTGTAGTTGGAAGTAATGACAAGACATCTGATGCTACAAGTATGGGAAAGGTGCACGGGCAAAAATTCCCAAATTCAAGGGAGATTCAGAGTAAAAAATGTGTCGTTACCTGTAACTACTCCTGAAATGAAGCCTCACTATTATATATGGTTTATTCTGAGGAGCCAGGACTGTGTTGACAGTGTTTTTACACCACCTAATGTGACCCAGGTGAGCTATGAAATCTGATTTTGAGGTGGAGTTAGGGCTAAATATTTACTGTTAAAGGTTTTTAATCCCATCCTGACTCATTCTTCTGGCTCCCACTTCTTAAACCTCTGGTCAGACTTCCCTGCCCCTGTTTTCTGACTCAGTGGAACCAGTGGAAGTGGGTTTTTGTGCTCTGACGGGGGCTGTGTTTCCCCTCAGGCTGACGGGGGCGGCAGAAAACAAGCGCTGGTACCTGGCGGTGATGTGCGCCACGCTCTTCTTCTACACCATCGCCACCATGGCCTTCACCTTCATGTACAAGTACTACACCCACCCCATCGCCTGCCACTTCAACAAGGTCCTGCTGTGGGTCAACCTGGGGCTCTGCGGCCTCATGTCCTTCATCGCCGTCACGCCCTGCGTCAAGCAGAGTCAGTGGAACTAACGCACCCACACCTGCTCTCTCAGGGGGGGGGCTTCAAATACCCGGCTCTGGGGGGTACCCTGAAAGCACCACGCGTCTAGCTTCTCCTTTTACACCTGTCAGGGCTTCTAAAAGTGGAAATATGTGCCTCGGGGTCCATTTATTATCCAAATCCAGGCTAAAAACGGGGGGAAAGTACCTCAGGAGACATGAATGGACTCCCGTTCAGCCCCTTTTGGGACAGGGTACCTGTTAATACCAGCGTTTCCACAGATAACAGTTAAAAAGAAACTGTTTTTCTGATTAAAACCATGGCGGTTCTTTCCCAAACTTCAAATTAATAGCTAAAAACTTCCTTTGAGCTGATCTATCGGAGAGCAATCGGTCCCATCCAGGGGCTCATGCAGTGTTGGACTGAGTAGAGGGCCAGAAAAATAAGCTACTTTTAGGATTTTTACATGACTAAAGTAGTCCAGAGGGAATTGATGGCGTTATCTCAGCATCAGGAGTTAATTATTCTGTGAATCTGGCGTCCATAATAATTACAAAAAGGATTTAAAAAATACAAAAATTAACTCTGTATAAAGAACAGTTGTTCTGTTTGAATACATTTACAGTCACAACACAAAATAGACTTTATTTATCAGATAATATTGTCTGAATTGAGCTTTTTTCCCCTTGTTTTCTGTCCCGTGTGCACGGATTAAAAGTGTTTATTGGAAGTCTTCTTCTCTAACTGGAGCCGGTGTGTTTGTCCTGCAGAACAGCCCCGCTCCGGACTCCTGCAGGCCTCCATCATCAGCTGTTACGTCATGTATCTGACCTTCTCTGCACTGTCCAGCCGCCCCCCCGAGAAAGGTACGCTCTCCCTGACCTCCTCCCACCAATACTAACACCAGGTCAACGTAAGAATACGTGAAAAATATAAATAAAATATGAATATTTATGCATAAAATAGGAATAAATAAACGTATTAATGAATTCATTAATGAATTAATAGTAATAATAACTATATATGTAAGAATAAAATAAGATAGAGTAACATAAAACGTATTAAATTGAAATAGATTTAAATAAATTAGATTATATCAAATAAAGATATATAGAAAAAATTGCATTGAATTTCATTAGAATTCTATTATCTATTTCTATTATCTATAAATAAGATGTTTATGAAAAAATGGATAGAAGAGCATACAAATAAAATAGATTTAAATAAATTTAAACAAAATAAAATATAGCTCATATGTAAGGATTTCAAAGCAGATTTCACATGTTTTTCGGGACAGTGCTTGTTTAGTTCATGCATCTATCATTTTGTAATGAATAGGTAAGGTATAATATGGCTTTAATATTCTATTTCTGTGCCTGAAGAAAACACCCAATCTTCATTTGACATATTGCATTTGTACCTTTCCGTTGCCTCATGTGTTTGGGGGATTGTTTAGTGTTCAGGAGGCTGCAGATGGGATTTGCATGCTTTCCTTTCAGCTCTTTCATGTGTCTGTGTGTTTTGGATAGTTTGTGAAGGACAAAAGGAAGTTCACAACCAGCCAAAATGACTCCAAATAGTCAGATATTCCAGTGATATCCGTCTTCTTTCTATTCAGGGACAGATTTAGGGACATAAACTCACAGTCAGGTGGATCCAGGCCCCCTGATCTGTCATGTTTACGGGTTACTTCAGTTTGAACATCAGGATCTCTTCTTTCTTTGGCTCCGTGTTATTTAAATCCCACTCCATCTGCAGTAAAGATCCCCATAGCGTTGGTCCAGACTCAGGGAGGAAATTCCAAAAAGCCAGATAATTGGCAAAGCAAGACTCAAAACATGGAAACATCTTCAAAGACAAGAGTTTAACAAAAGCAGAATCCAGAAACAAAACTGGGACCAAATATCCACAACTGGACACCAAAAAGGCCCAAAATCCAGAGCAAACGGACAGTGAACGCACCATCGGACGGCAGGGGAACCAGGAACCTGAACCGGTCCAGGCTGTTCCTCCAGCCAGAACCAGCCTAAAAAAACTTTAATAGAAATAAAGACGCACTGGCTGGGAGTGGAAAGGCCAAAAGTACAAAATAATAATCACTCAGTAATGAGGACGGACTAGGAAAGGAACAAATAAGGATCACTAGAATCGAGGCAGGCAAAGATATGAACAAAGTCCCAAATAATAATCTCTCTAACGA